TTTTTTTAATTCTGTCTCTCAGAGTGGGAATGCACCTACAATGTGAATTTCAGACCCCTCCATGATTTCTAAGTGGGAGAACTTGCAAAATCGCAGGGTGTTCAAATACTTCTGTTCCTCACTGTATGCTTCATATTTGTGCAGTTAAAATGTGACATAAAATGTTCAGACAGGAGTTAATTTCAAACTAATTTATTTAACACAAAATTCTCATCTTGCTGTAGTGTTTTTACATTTAATGACCAGAGGTGGGCTATCTCATACCGTACAACATAAGACAAGTTCAATCCAATGCTTGCCCTACAAGATTTTAGCATAACAATTCAATTACAAAAATAATACTGATTTAACCTAAATAAATTTGATCTTTTCCCCTTGTTTTCTTCTGTTCACTAAGTTGTTATGAAAAGGTTGAGGGTCTTCTACCATGTGGCATGAATGTTTTCCATGACTGTATTACTGTCCCTATTGCGTTTCTTATACTTCTTCTTCACACAGATAACACTGACTACTGTAATCACCAACATTACTCCCAGTACTGACAGAGAGGTGGCAAGTGCGAGGGTAGTTTTATCCATGTCAGAGCCCTTGTATTGACAGCTGTCCCCATAGTGCCACCAGTCATCACCCACCACACACCTTCAGGCCAAAGGACGAGAGAGGAAAAAAAAAAGTGACTTGAATGTATTCCCAGCACTGATACACAATTTCTATAGAGGGTGATGGAAAAGACTGCCCTTTGAGGCTTAATCTAGATAAGGTGCAGTTCTGAGATATCATTATCAAATATCTAATACACCCAATGGCAAAACCATACTTTTCTTGTTTTAATGTCAGATTTTTCTTATAGGAACAACATGTAGACATTCTGGGAAATACACTTATTTGCTTTCTTGCCAATAGTTAGATGAGAGGACTTGTAACACTCGTGCATATAGTAGCCTAAATAAAAAATTAGTATCATCTGGCACTAAACACCACAGAACAGAGTAAGAGCTACTGTAGCTGTAGGTAACAAAGAGTTAATGCACCTGTCCAGGGAAGAGTCCCACACATAGTAAACCAAGTGTCACATGTAGTTTATTAGTGAGCCCAAGAGGTTCTGGTTGGCAGATTTTGTTACCTTTAGCATTTCCAATCTTTATTTTAAGCTGCAACACTTCACTTCTACTAGTGGTAGCTTCCTATTTTTCATCTAAGACTGGAATTAATTTTCTAATCAAGAAAGCAAATACAAATATTTCTCAAAATATCCAACTATTTTCTTAAGTCTTTTAATTATTTCACACAGGAATAATGTAACACTAGAAGGTTGCTCATTTTATGACTTACAGATTGTAGCATCCACAGTTCAGTGAGTGCAGTCAAAAAGCTCCTCACCTGCAAGCGGCTTTTCCTTGATCCTCCACGCAGACGCCATCATTCTGACACATCACATTGAGGCAGACAGGGGGTGCAGGGGTGGTGTTAGGATGTTGGGTTGTGGGAGGCACTGGCCGGGTCGTGGGAGGCACTGGCTGGGTCAGCGTTAGATTATACACATCTGATGAGGGGTGACACAAAAGAGAGTGGTTAAATGGATCCAGGTGAGGAGCATTAATGAACACGAAATACACAGCCAATGATTGGATTGCAAGATTGACTGTAGTGTTTTTCTGACAAGTAGGATATGAATCACCACACAATTGACTGAATGAATGATGTTGGCACACGAGTATGCAGAATACATGTATGAGGGGATAGATGAGGTTTCACTGTGTATATTAAGTCAAAGATGACATAAATGGTTCACTTTCTGTGCAAGACATTTATTCCCTTATTTCTGTGATGTCTTGGGCCAGAAAATTATATATGCTGAAATCTAATGAGTTTGTAATGTGGTGTTTTTACCTTCCATTGTGAGGAGAAAGATGGCATCTCCTCCCTTAATAAAATCCCTGCTCTTGGCTCTGAGGTGGGTAAGGTACACTGCAGTGCCAGCGCCCGGCCCTCTGAAATACTTGGATCCATCTTCATCCTTGACCTCAGAGCCCACCTTACGAGGATCATCCCAGAAATAATGGTCGGAATCTGTTTTAAAATGATGTTGAAAGGGTGTATAAATATAGCATTAAAGTAAAAACAGTACTGTTACAATTAGTTTTTTATGTAAAGAACAGTCTGTGTTTTTGACAGAGGGAACAGCTGTACCTGCTGCCTTCATGGTGGGGTCAGTGGTGACACTGCGCTGATTGGACATACGCTTTTGGATGTGTGGGTGCTGATCCATCAGCATCATGGTTATCTGTTTCCAGGGGCATGGCCATTTCTGCCCAGTGTCCCCTTCACGGGCAACCAGATGAGCAAAGGCTGACAATTCACCATCGTAGCCTGCCTTACCACTTGGGTACAGCTCCATTTGGAAGGTGTAACCCTCCTTTGAGGTGAATGGAGGGCTGAAGATAGATGTGTTTGTGGTGGTGTTTTCCATAAGATGCCTGAAGTTCTTCACACGCCACACAAACTCTGGGCAGGTTGTCTCAGAAATGTTGATGTCATCCAGGGACAGTCCCCCTGTCGAGGGCTCAGAGCTCCGCTTGGTCCCTTGAAAGACAACGCGGAATTTTGTCTTGACGTCTAGAGTTACATGATGCAGTTGCCAAAGCTCCTGAGGGGATCCTGTTACAGCACAAGGTTAAAAAAAAAAGAGAATTTACTAAACATTTTACCAGCAAAATTCAACATTTTAGTCCTAATTTTGAGCTGTAATAACATATAGTGATAGTCACCATCTATGGTCTTTATAAAGCGCAGTGTTCCATTGGGGTTGGCGCTGTCATACTCTCGGACATAGATCTTCAGGGTGTCGCTGAGGTTGGCGCTGTTGTAAAAGAAGAACTGCAGACACTGGTAACCTCTTTTGGGGTAAAGGAGCCTGCTCTCAAGCAGAGCTGTGTCCCCAGTGTTAGCGTCACCAGTGCTGAAGTGCATGAAATACCCCGAGCCTAAAGAGCCAAATATCACTTGATTAACAATGTCAATAAACATTTCAGTTCACCTAATGGATGAAGGTGTGGGCCATATCTACAGCATCTTAGAGAACTAAAATGATATATATTAACAAAGTAATTTGATGCTGTGATCATTCTGAGCAGTGTGGGGTTACACATAGTCTTTCTAGAATGTCGGTATCTCTTTATGTTATCTGTACACTGCAGCTCAGTAAGGAAAAATGGCCTACGGAAACACAAAAAGGTAATTTCATACTAAAGGGAATATAAATTTGGAAGAATCACATTAGATTTGGCAGACCATCAAGCCTTATATTATAGTTATCAGGTCATAGTTATCTTTGAAAGCAGACAGTCTGACTCAGTGGAGGCTTTTAAATCCATCTCTAAAACTCACCTGTACACCGTAACATTTACCTAGTGGCATAGTCTTCTTTGCTACTCTTCTTCCACTGGTGGGTTTCAGTCTCTATGTATGTATTAAAGCTAGTTATGTACAGTCCACGTTGTCCTCCTGACAAGATTACTGCAAACTTCCTGTAACCCTCTGTTTGTTCCCTCAAGCTCATGATAATCCAAGCTTTTGTACATCTCTCCGTCTTTTCCTTTCTGCCCCTCTCTGTGCTAAACCATCAACCAGAGGGGATGTCTCTCCTTACATTTGTTTAAACAATGTTTAATGTCGTATATGTTTCCTATGTACATTTGTCATTCTGATTGTACATAGTCTATTTTCTTAATTTATTCTGCACATACAGCATCTATGCACATCCAGTCATCTGCTAACGTTTCTTCCATTTTCCCCCCATTAAAGGGATTTTTTTTGGAGGGTGGGATTCCTTATCCACTTTGAGGGTCTAAGGATAGGGTGCATTGTAGGTTGTACAGATCATGAAGGCCCTTGAGGCAAATCAGATTTGTGATATTGGGCAATAAAAACTGACAAATATTTCTGCAAGATAATCCTCACCATTGCATTTGCCCATGTTGGAGTAGTCGGTGTCAGGCCCTCCAACAGCTCTAGGAACCCTGACCCAGTCTGCTTTATCCCCTTGTCCCTGGATCATACCACAGATGTTCTCACGCTCAAAGTCACAGGAGTCCAGGAAAGTGGAGCCCTGGGCTAGAAGACATTTTATAAACCCACAGACACAGGTGGAGGACACTGAACTGCTCTAAAATGATTGATTATGCAATAAGGATAATATTTTGCTTATCAACATATTTCCATATGGCAGAAATTTAGGTCTTATCTCAAGATTTGGTGTAATGCCAAGCCAAGAGTTGTGGTGCAAGATGACAACACTTTTACTGCAGACAGTAAAATGACTGGAGGTGTTCACTCTTACTGCAGTTATATAGGCGATGTAGCTTGAGCAGGTCGCTATCACTGAACTCCATACGCTGCCCGATGACATCAAGGAAAGCAGGGATCTTGGTGACAATGGTGGGCTCAGTGCCGTTTTTAAAGGCATCCTTACTGTAGTGCATCATTGATCCATAGTCATAGGGTACGCCTAAAGAGCTGGATGTGGTGTCATTGTACATGTTGAAGTTGTGTTTTCTACCTGAAGATCAGACACCAAAGTGTCAGTGCAGTTTAATTCATAATCACAATGTCATATTCCATTCTCCAAATGCAAGGGTGGATTTCAGAGATGTTATTAGGATCTCTCATAAAAGTTGCTTATCAAAATCTGACATGCTTAAGGCCTTCAGATAAGATTGCTGACAAAGGACTCTGGACGTTCACAGACCTACAGTAAAAAAATAAAGTTGATTCATGAACAGTTGGAGGAGTATAGCTCAATGTATCAAAGCTACACAGTGTGATAATCCTGGATGTGTTGATGATGTCTGTTGCTTATCTTGTCAAGATTACATGGTCAAAAAGAACATGTGCACAGGCTTGTCACAAGAATTAAATCAACTGCTGCACATCCTACATAAACTTCTTAAACACTATGTGGAATGAAGTGATTGTTTTGTTTGATAAGAATGCAAATTAGTTGTGTTAGTATAAATGTTATGTAATGAAATGTCTTTACACTCACTCTCAATCTGACAAATTACTACACACATGCAAAAAGAAGTCATGAGGTAGGCACATCATGTAGCAGTGAAAGGTGCAGTACCTTCTGAGATGCGGTCCCACATGATTCTGACATAATCATCACGATCTGCTCTGGACTGCTCATGCCAAAACCCAAGTGCATGAAGGAACTCGTGTTCAATTGTGGCGATGCGGTCACAGTTCGTCCCTATCGACAATACCTGCTTCCCAGCTCGCTGGTTTCCAACAGAGGAGAAACAGCTTTTTGGAGGGAAAAAATGGTTTTTATGAACATCACAAAGAATCAGCAATGTCTTTCCTCATGGACATTTATCATAATGATCAAATACAGTATATATATATATATAATGCATTAATCCTTACCCGGCCCCTTTAAATATGGAAATATAGTTTGCTTCTCCGGTCCAAGGCTTGAAGTCAATGCAGGTCTTGAGCCGGTACTGCTCAAAGGCCTTCAGGATCACACCTTTCGCATTGATCTCTGCAGAGAAGATGAGTAATCAATTCTGTTAAATTGTGACCATGAAAAATAACAATTAACTATAAGTACCTTAAAATTGTACCTAATTACAGTACTTGTACTTAGTTACTTTCCACTGCTGCTTATAGCCAGACTAATACAGGTGAATATGATGTATAAATCCATCTGTATTGCTCAAAAAAAGGTTAATGTACATGGAGGACAAATGTCTAAGCCCATGTGAACCCAAATGGCTCTTATTCAAATAGGTACCCTTACCCAAGTCATCTTCCATGTAGTATGGAATTGTCTTCGGCCACCTGTACTCATCCCCTATTATGGAATTTCGAGTTTGCCTCTGTGTCAGTCCAGAAAAGCGGTCACAACAATAGAAGGAACATGACAAGTCAAGGTTAAGCTCTCTTCACAAAATTCAGTTGTGCAGGGTAAAATTAAAAGCAGTTAATTTAACATGCCTCATCAAGCACAATGTCACCCTCTATGAGATTCAACCCTGCCTCTGTAGAGACCAAGCACAAAAGAAAATTAGTCTACAGTGGTTACTGACAAACTCTGCAGACACGTAGAAGAAAAGTGCCTGTTTTTCCTTCTCTGTGCTCACCTTCATTAATATCAAAAATATCAAGGTCCCGTCCACGGTCCACATCATAGTCTGTAAAGGTAGACAAGAAAATGACTGTGAAGAAACTGAAAATGAAATTAACATACACACAAGATAATAAAAACTGTTGTGGAAAAAAAAGGATAACTTACCTAACAGTTTTGTTGTGGGCTAAATAAAAGAGGAATAAAGTATTTTTTTAACTTGCAAATATATTAGTTTTTTATACAACCTTATCTTAGAAAAATAAACTCGTTTCTCACCAAACAAAGGGCAGCACCACAAAGGAGGAATATAGCATGAAGAACAAGTACACCTGTATGTCCTTCCATGTCCTAAGATATCCCTCTGCTTGGGACAGTAAGTGGCAGGTTCTGATCTCTGACACTCACAAAGGAGAAATTACAGAGAGGTTTACGCAAGAAATACGACAGCATTCATGTGCTCACCAGTTGATAATTGACAAGAGCTGTAAAGGTGGCTGCCACCAGAACAGCTCCAAAGCGGGGATGGTGTGTTTGTAGTGATGTGCAGTGTTTGGTGTCTGCCAAACATAGCATCTTGTCTGATGGCCAAAAAGCCCCATTTTGGTCTCATCAGACCAAAGAACTTTCTTCCACTTAACCACGGGGTCTCCCACATGCGTTTTGGTGAACTCCAGTTGAGATTTAAGAGTTTTCTTCAACAGTGGCTTTCTCTTTGCCACTCTCCCATAAAGCTTTGACTGGTGAAGAACTCGGGCAACAGTTGTTGTTGTTGTATGCACAGTCTCCTCCATCTCAGCTGCTGAGGCTTGTAACTCCTTCAGAGTAGTCATAGATGTCTTGGTGGCCTCGCTCACTAGCCTCACAAGGTCAGTTTGTGAGTATGACCTGATCTACGCAGATTTGGACATGTGCCATATTCCTTCAATTTCTTGATGATGGATTTAAGTGAACTCTGGGGGATGTTCAGTGACTTGGAATGTGCTCGGAGTGTTCCTTTGTCTTCATGGTGTAAGGGAAGCCAGGAATACTGATTAACCAGTGACTGGACCTTCCAGACACAGGTGTCTTTATACTACAATCACTTGAGACACATTCATTGCACTCTGGTCATCCCCATTTCACTAGTTGTGAGACTACTAGCGCCAACTGGCTGGTAACTTAGGTCAGTCATTTTAAAAGTGAAGGTGAATATTTATGTAATCACTTATTTCCCATTACATATTTTTATTTAATTGGCATTACTTTATAGAAACCCGTTTTTACTTTGACATCAATAAGAGTAAAACTTCCAAGGGGGTGAATACTTTTTATAGGCACTGTATGTACGTAGAGGTGACGGCCTTGTAAACGTCCAGCAGGTAGCTGCAGGTGATAACTGATAATAGTGGGAAGAAGTGTGAAGCTAGAAACATTATAAAGCATCAAATAATTAAATTTTACTTGGGCTAAACAGTGCAAACTATTAAATGACTACACATGAGTGTTAAACATACAATATATAAACAGTTTATTTTATTTTTGTAAATACAGGTTTGGTATGGCTTAAGGAATTGTGGAGGGAAGTTTTATTTATGATACTGCTGTGAGCATTATCAACACTGCAAGAACCTTTGTAGTTTTATAATGAAAACGAAAAAAACACGAACACATCTCCAGAATAAAATCATCCTTGGTGCGAAAAAATACTTCACAATACAAATGCCCGACACACTACAGGACAGCAGCTCACTGACTTCAAGACGATGTGATATCCTTTCATGTCAAACATACCGTTTATCTTATTACCTTACCTGTTTTGCGACTGGAGCCATGTTTATTCCAGCCAAACATAAATGTTCACCACACACCAGTTGACTGACCTTAAAAAATAGCTAATTTCTGAAGCTATAATAACCATGTACAATCTCAATAGCTTTTCTTTAATTCCAGCACGCGGTGCAATTTTTGAAAAACATAGTGGACAACATTCATACAAAAAAAAAAAAATCAAGGCATTATTACTTTCCAGTACATTACAAAATGAACAATGATTTTAAAATTTCCTGATCAGAAGAACCCGAACTCTCACAATATGAATTCCCTCTATAGTACAATGATAATCTAAGGCAACATAATCATTTTATCATAGTAGGTAACTACCAGAGTGCCCAGTTAGCTGCAAAGGACCATTTTCCTATGGAACAAATTTCATGATTGTCAACAGCAAGCTCTGTGGTTATCATGTCATGCAACCATGATATATTTCTGAAAAATATATTTGAATTGAGCAGTCTTTTTTTCCAATAATTTGACAAACACCATCCCCTTCACCTCTACTATAAACCAAGATAATATTTCAAACTCCTGGTATAATGTACTGTACCAGGACACAGAAAACCAAGTGTTTTTGTGTAATTTTGCTTGAACGGACCCTTTAACTATAGCAACCAATCCAGAAAACGTGGTTCATCATAGGCAAAAAGTTATTTAGGGGGAATGATGCAAATGTGTCAAGTAAAAAAAAAAAAGTTCATGAGATTGGGGAAGGACAATTGCAACTGTCCAGTATTCTCTGGATGACATCTACCTTTATGTATCCATCCAGAGCTCGACAAAGCTTCCCAACTGTACAGCCAAAACTTCCCTCCTTCATTTTCCAGTGCTCCAGCATCTGGTGCACCATCTCTGACAGGCCGTCACGACAGTTGTCGTGCTCTATGGTCTGTATTTCCACGTCGCTCAGATTCAGGCGGCGTGCACATTGCTTCCACTTGGACCCTAGGTTGTCCTTTACTAGATCCAGGTGCTCCTCAGTCACATGATAGTCCTCTAAATGAACAAAGGAAAACTCTGTTAGGGCGGAAATAAATCAAAAAATACACATTGCTCTAATTTTTCAAAATTTGTTTTAAATTTGTTAGACCAAAGTAATAATAAAAATCACCATTATAACTGATTTTGATCTTTGAACACCAAACTTTCAGATTTCAGCTTCTTAAACGTGAGGATTTGATGTGATTTGATGATGTTACATGAAAGAAATGCTATGATTTACCATATTTCTGAAGGCCTTCTTTGATGAAAGAATTAGTAGGTACAGATACAAAATTAGGGGAGAGCTCATAACCTCTGATACTCATCATATTGTTGTTCCCAATCTGGATCCCAGTGGCATTCTGAATGTAGAAAGATCCTGGAATAAACACAGAGCAAACACAAATAAACGCCGTCGCTCAGGTGCATGCCAGTGAAGCAGCTCTGAATGGCTGAACAAACGCTTCATCTCAAGATCTAGATCTAGATCTGGATCGAGATCAAGATTCACTTAGTCATTTCCCTGAGCACTTACACAAAAAAAGGAAATACTGTTTCTCACCTGATCATAGTAGTGCATTCACGTAGTTTTAATAAATACATAAACTACTGCTAAAAATGAAAAGCAATAAAAACAACATGTTTGCAAGCGCATTAAGCTGCTGTATTCAGTTCAGGACTGCTCCTATACTGATGAGGGTAGGGTCAGGGTGTGAGTGCCTGTGTGTGTGTGAGTGTGTGAGTGAGAGAGGAGGCATGTCAGGGGGAGTGGGGAGGGACACAGTGCATTTATAATCCCGACTGCTTGTGGGAAAAAGCTGTTCAGCATCCTGCTGGATCTAGAGCATCTGGAGCTGGATCTGGATCTTCTGTACCATTTCCCAGACAACAGCAGGGAAAACAGGCTGTGAGAAGGGTGGTGAGGGTCTTTGATTTTGATTTGATTTGATTTGTTCTTTCAAACATGTAAAGACAGTCAATATGTCAACACACATAATTTCACACATATCCACAAATGCATTATCAATTTGCTTATACCTAGTACATGCTTGAACGAAGTAAGAAGTTAGACTTATCTACTCCTACCCCATAACATCAACTTACCATCACTGGTTTGCATGCACTATTTCTACATAGATAATTTTGTTCTACACCACGCTAGTGATATACTAAAAAATTATTACAGATTGTTAACATTCTTACATAATTACATACTTTGATAATTATCATCTACACCACACAAGTAGAATTATTACAGAGTGCTAACATTCTTACCCCACACCCACAATGTTACACCTGATTAATCATTAAACCTGTTCTTGCATATATCTTGATTGACACATACCTTTATATTTACGTTTAAACTCATCAATTCTATTACTGTTTTTTATGTCCACACTTAAATTATTCCATAGTTTTACCCCACTTATGGAAATACAAAATCTTTTTTT